ACCCTGACGCACACCTTCCCTGACTTTAAACCACGCAGTATCCCCTTGCTCTGTCCGAACAACTGCCTCTTGATCTCTATACAGGTCCCTCATGAACACAATTAAGTGTTCTGGAATTCTCATTCTTCGCAATGTTATCCACAATTTTTTATTATCCACACAGTCGAATGACCTTGCAAAGTCAATAAAACACAGATAAATATCTTTCTGGTATTCTCTGCTTTCAGCCAGGATCTATCTGACATCAGCAATGGTATCCCTGGTTCTACATCCTCTTCTGAATCCGGCCTGAATTTCTGGCAGTTCCCTGTCGACATACTGCTACAGCCACTTCTGAATGATCTTCAGCAAAATTTTACTTGCATGTGATATTAATGATATTGTTCAATAATTTCCGCATTCAGTTGGATCACCTTTCTTGGGAATAGGCATAAATATGGATCTCTTCCAGTTGGTTGGCCAGGAAGCTGTCTTCCAAATTTCTTGGCATAGACAAGTGAGCACTTCCAGTGCTGCATCCATTTGTTGAAACATCTCAACTGATATTCCATCAATTCCTGGAGCCTTGTTTTTTGCCAATGCCTTAACTGCAGCTTGGTCTGCTTCTTTAAGTACCATTGGTTCCTGATCATATGCGACCCCTTGAAATGGCTGAACTTCTACCAATTCTTTTTGGTATAATAACTCTGTGTATTCCTTCCATCTTCTTTTGATGCTTCCTGCGTCGTTTAATATTTTCCCCCATAGAATCCTTCACTATTGCAGTTCGAGGCTTGAATCTTCAGTTCCTTCAGCTTGAGGAATGCCAAGCGTGTTCTTCCCTTTTGGTTTTCTATCTCCAACTCTTTGCACATGTCATTATAATACTTTACTTTGTCTTCTCAAGCCACCCTTTGAAATCTTCTGTTCAGGTCTTTTACTTCATCATTTCTTCCGTTTGCTTTAGCTACTTGACGTTCAAGAGCAAGTTTCAGAGTCTCTTCTGACATCCGTTTTGGTCTTTTCTTTCTTTCCTGTCTTTTTAATGACCTATTGCTTTCTTCATGTATGATGTCTTTGATGTCATTCCACAACTCGTCTGGTCTTCGGTCATTAGTATTCAAAGCATTAGCTCTATTCTTGAGACAGTCTCTAAACTCAGGTGGGATATACTCAAGGTTGTACTTTGGCTCTCGTGGACTTGTTCTAATTTTCTTCAGTTTCAGCTTGAACTTGCATATGAGCAATTGATGGTCTGTTCCGCAGTCAGCTCCTGGCCTTGTTCTAACTGATGATATTTAGCTTTTCCATTGTCTCTTTCCACAGATGTAGTCGATTTGATTCCTGTGTATTCCATCTGGCGAGGTCCATGTGTATAGTCGCCATTTATGTTGTTGGAAAAAGGTATTTGCAATGAAGAAGTTGTTGGTCTTGCAACATTCTATCACGTGATCTCCAACATCATTTCTATCACCAAGACCATATTTTCCAACTACCGATCCTTCTTTGTTTCCAACTTTTGCATTCCAATTACCAGTAATTATCAATGCATCCTAACTGCATATTCAATCAATTTCAGACTGCAGAAACTGGTAAAAAATCTTCAGTTTCTTCATCCTTGGCCTGACTGGTTGGTGCGTAAATTTGAATAACAGTTGTATTAACTGGTCTCCCTTGTAGGGTATGGACATTATCCTATCACTGACAGCATTGTACTTCAAGATAGATCTTGAAATGTTCTTTCTGATGATTAATGCAACGCCATTCCTCTTCAAGTTGTCATTCCCAGCATAGTAGACCATATGATTGTCCAATTCAAAATGGCGAATACCAGTCCATTTCAGCTCAGTAATGCCTAGGATATTGATGTTTATGTGTTCCATTTCAATTTTGACAATTTCCAATTTTCCTAGATTCATATTCGTACATTCCCTGTTCTGATTATCAATGGATGTTTGCAGCTGTTTCTTCTCATTTTGAGTTGTGCCACATCAGCAAATGAAGCTCCCGAAAGCTTGACTCCATCCAAGTCATTAATGTCGACTCTACTTTGAGGACGCAGCTCTTCCCCAGTCTTTTGAGTGCCTTCCAACCTGGGGGACTCATCTTCAGGCACTATATCAGACAATGTTCTGCTGCTATTCATAAGGTTTTCACTGGATATTTTTTTTCAAAAGTAGACTGCCGGGGCCTTCTTCCTAGTCTGTCTTAGTCTGGAAGCTCCACTGAAACCTGTCCTCCATGGGTGACCCTGCTGGTATCTGAATACCAGTGGCATAGCTTCCAGCATCACAGCAACACACAAGCCCCTATAGTACAACCAACTGACAGACAAGTGGGGAATCCAAACATAATAAGGCCACTAAAATATGTCCAGGATTAGGATATTTTTTCCAGTTTTAATTTTTTTTTTAAGACTAGTTGAATATGTACGTTAGAATTCTACAAGCTTCTCACATCCACATGGTATTTCAGTGCACAGAAAAGAACATTCCCTTCAGAGCTAAAGAAATCAAGTTTATAATCTCAGCTCTACTATGTAGCCATTTGGAGCACCATTTTCCTTCTCTATAAAATCCCTGGTAGAATTGTAAGGATTAAATGAGATAACACATAACACTTCTGCCTCCACAGATGTCAGTTCTCTTTTCTGCTGGTAAATTCTCTCATTGGGTGAGATGAGTATGAACAATATGAATTGGTTTTAAGATTGGGATATTCAGGAAAGTATATTTGAAACTGAATATAGAAGAGCAAAATATAAATATCCCATGTACATTGTGGAGCCCTGGTGGCACAGTGATTAAGAGCTTGGCTGTTAACTGTAAGTTCAGCAGTTCAAATCCACCAGCTGCTCCTTGGAAACCTGTCTTAGTCACCTAGTACTGCGCTAACAGAAATATTTACAAGTGGATGGCTTTAACGAAGAGAAGTTTATTCTCTCACAGTCCAGTAGGCTACAAGTCCAAATTGAGGGCATCAGCTCCAGGGGAACGCTTTCTCCATCAGCTTTGGGGGAAAGTGCGTGTCATCAATCTTCCTTTGGTCTGGGAGCGTCTCTGCGCAGGAACCTCAGGTCCAAAGGACACACTCTGCTCCCAGCACTTTTTTCTTGGTGGTATGAGGTTCCAATGTGTCTCTGCTCGCTTCCCTCTTTTATATCTCAACAGAGATTGGCTTAAGACACTATCTAATCTTGTATACCTCATTGGTATAACTGCCCCTAACCATCTATTACATCATGGTGATAGAGTTTACAACACATAAGGAAATCACATCAGATTACAAAATGGTACACAATCATACAATACTGGGAATCATGACCCAGTCAAATTGACAGATATTTGAGGGGGACATAATTCAATCCATGACAGAACCCTATGGGGCAGTTCTACTCTGTCCTACAGGGTCGCTATGATTTGTAATTGATGCAATGGCAACAGGTTTTTTTGGTATGAGGTGCCCAAAGGAATCTGAATCATGTAACTGTTATGGGTGGATTTTGAAAGATATTAGAATGAAGCTAGAGACTGTCTTCTCCTACTGGGAGGAGCATGTTAAACTTACATTAACACTTTTCTCCATTCACCAGAGGAAGCTGTGGGAGGAAGAAGAGGGCTCTGGCTGGGACTATGCCCCTTGACAAGGCCCTGTCAGTCCATTTCTGGGCTCGTTCAGTCAGGCAGTCTCTCCTCTTCAGTTCTAGGTTCTGACCCTTACATCCACATGGAGGGCTACAATGCTGGGTGGAACCAGCTTGTGTGCAGGTCGGTGGGATGGTTCCCAAAGCCCTGGGACAAGTGCAGAGAACTTCAAGGCAGGGTCAACTTGACTGCAACGGGTATGTACGTTATTAGTTTGTAAATTGATATAAATATAATGCTGAGAAGGCAGACTCAGGAATAAAATTGTAGTTTTATTAATTGTGGTTAAACCTTGCTTGGGTGGACTCAAGACTATTTGGAAACCAATTCCAGATGTGTTTTTCTCTCAGTAGCCCAAAGTCTTTCCCCACAATTTCTCATTCACAATGAAAATAACAGCATGCCAAACAATGAAATACCAAACTTTTATTTAAGAAATGTAGAAAAGCAAACAAAAAATTCCACTCAAGCACTAACAGAGGGCCCTTCTGACAGAGAGAAAGATCCAGTTTCTCTTGGGTAGAACTGGGTTCCCATCTGCAAACTGATAGCCAAGATCTCTATAAGCAGGCCAGGTCACATATGTGGTGTGACTTCAAAGTAACTAGGCTTCTTTCTGCAAAGCACACCAAAAAATCAGGCTCATTATTTTATCCTTACACCTGGTCTACTACTTCCTATTTGAAATCAATACTATCTGACCTAAGAGGCTGTTTGCTACACAGATGAAAGCTTGTGGAAACAGCTCCTACACTGGCAGCTAAATCTGTCACTTTTTCAAGCTGGGCCTCATGGAATCTCAGAAGGCCTGAAGCCTTTGTTTGAAAATGCCAGCACACCAGGCTGACTCATCTGCCAGTGTCTTTTCAAGGCCACACATAGGTGAGTTGCTCTTTTTGAAGTTGTACTTCTCAGCTCCCTGATTGTGCTCCTGAGTCTTTTAAGGATTACAGCTATACGTTTAAAGTCCCTGTATCTGATTATCATTGGTGGGTAAATTAACTTTTGAAAACATGTATATTAGGTTTGGGTGGTGCAAACAAGTAACACTCAGCTGCTGACTGAAAGGTTGGTGGTTCAAGTCCACCCAGAGGAACCTCGAGAATTTACTTCTGAAAACCCTGTGGAGCACAGTTTGACTTTGACACACATGGGATTGCCACGAGTCAGAATCAACTTGACAGCGGTTTTTAATTTTTTGCATTAGCTTTGGATGTCACCAAACTATGTTTTCAACAGCATCAAGAAAATAGAAAAGGATGGCATGTTTCACCCTTTCTCCCTCCCCATATTCCTGTAAAAAGGAAGGAAGGGTATGTGATCCAAAACATGTTTACTTTTAAAAAAACTGAACTTGGGGGCTAAAGGCCTGAACTGAGAGAGAGAAAAGCAGTCCTTAATGGGAGGGGTAAGAAGCAGAGATTCAGTCTGGGACTGGGGGCCATAATTTTATGACCAAAATCCTGAGTGCAGGATGAAGTAGAGAGAGTTCTAACTATTCCCCTGAGCAGAGCACCCATTCCCCTAACCTACACTATATCTCGGTGACACACAGTCAGCATCTCCACCTAAACCTAAACTGATACACATTTTGTTTTCAGGAATTCTCCTTGCAGGGCTTAGAACTGAGCCCTGAGAGAAAGGTGGTGCCAATAGAAACCACCATAAAGGGTCTGGATTCGGGGTAAGGAGATGAGACTTCTGGAATCATGAGTTGGGCCAGGAGATTGCAATCCAGGGTGTTGAGCTGGGCAGGCAGGAGAGCAGGAACTGAGGCACAACCCTAAAAGAAAGGTACTTGGAGCCCCTGAAGGGCCGGGCTGAAGTCAGAGGGCCAGGACAGCATCATGTCCTTGAGTGGGAAAAGCTCCGCTGACTGAGGGGGGAGTAAGGAAGGGTTCACCTTCAAGGACACGTCTCCATTAGCGTGTCTTTTTCCTTCTGGCTTGGGGACAGTTGACTCTGATTTCTGGAGTTCTGAACAAATGACTAGAGGTGCCATGTTTTTTCCTCCATCATGAAGGCAAGGTTCAAAGAAGGGGCGCAGGGGGCCAGAGAAACTGTGCGTGAAAGTAAAGATGTGGGATTTGTCAGTCACATTGAAGAAGGAGATAATTCCTGCTTCGTAGTCCAGGAAAATCCCCACATACCGCGGGGGCTCTTTCAGGCGGAAGGAGATCTGCGGGGACGTGAGCGCTTGGTACTGATTCTCACGACTCTGCCGCACAAGCCAGTGTCCGTTGGACGGCGAGGCGGTGACCTTCCCCTTCCTGTTCACCGATTCACTGCACACCCCGAGGATCCACTTGGTCTTGTCTCCCACGAACACCTCCCAGTAATGACAGCCAGCCGTGAAGCACTGGGAGCCGAGGACGCTGACGACAAAATCAAATCTCTCTGGGTTGTCAGGCACAGGCTGCTTTCTGTCTCCGAGCCTCACACATCTTTGGTCCCGGGAGAGGACGAGTTTGGGATGCGCTGTGTCCGGATCCAGGGTCACGGCCACTGCAGAGAGTCACAGAGGAGTGAGGTTTGGAAAGGCCAGGTCTTAAGGGTTTTTTGGGTGACTTAAAACAAAGCCAAACCCGTTGCCATCAAGTCGATTCCGACTCATTCCGACCCTATAGGACAGACTAGAACTGCCCCATAAGGTTTCCAAGGGGTGGCTGGTGGATTTGAACTGCTGACTTTTTGGTTAGCAGCCAAGCTCTTAACCAGTGTGCCACCAGGGCTCCTGGGTGGCTTTGGAGGGGGAAATAATCTCTAGGTTTGTAACCACTGTCATTACCCCATTTTAGTTCGTGAGTCTCACCCACAGGCATACTGGAACCAAAGAATACTGTCTTCCGGTCTCTTAGTTCTCCTAGTAGAGTATTAAAGAAAAGGGGGGAAAGTTCTTGATTTGTCTGTGAAGCTGCCTTAATTCTTAGGAAATGCTACTTTGCCTTCAATTTTCCAAAGGAACCTGACATAGTGACAATAAACACAGGCTTAGATGTTAGACCTGGGTTTGATTCCCAGCTCTGCTACTTGCAAGTTATGTGACCTTGGACAAGTTGTGCCTCTTTAAGCTGTAGTTCCCTCATCTGTATAATGGGATAATAACAGCACCTATGTAGTGGAGCTATTACGTGGATTTGATGAACTAACGCAAGAGACAGTGCCTGGTTCATACAGTGAGTATGTGATACTCATTTTACTAGCTAAAACTATTGCTTATAATTGTAATTTTAAGGTGCTAATATAGACAGAAGGATTCTTCCTGAAAATTGTGGATTATGGGGGTCACAGTGAGGTTTCCCCTCAAATGCGGGAAATCAGCTCTTCTTGGAGAGTTAAACCAGCGAAATCCGTATTTGCTGGAGGTAGTAGGAGTAAACCAGATTGTGGATGTGAGATAGGACGGTTTGTGAGTTCACAGAATGCCAACCAAGGTGACCTGGTGTTCTCTCAAATGGCTGACTAATCAATTCTCTTGTACCCAGTCTGCAGGAAGATAGTGTGAACAGGAAGGAGATGAGGAGCCTGGAAAATTAATAAGGACCACAAAACAGTAAAAATAACAGATTCCATTCAAACAGCAGCAAAAAGCACAAACTGTTTAGGAGTAAATTGAAAGAGAGAGGTGTAAATCTTTCAGAATAAAACAAAAAACCTTTATGTTGTCTACATTGTTGGGCATCTGCCTAACCCATTCCCTTCTTCTCTGAGAATCCCAACCCCCCCCACCTCAAGAAAACTGGTCTGTAGAGAAAGAAGAATGTGGCAGATGTGTAAAAAGAGGCAGAAGCAGAGTGGCTATTTATCCAGTTGTGGGAGAACAAAGTTTTCGTAAACACGAAAGCATGGAAGAGACCACACAGATGAATAAATTTGACTACATAAACATTTCATGCATTAAAAAAAAAAAAATAAGGAAATTAAAATACAAATGGGAAACTGGCAAAATTATTTGTGACAAATATGGCAAAGAGTTAATATACTTTATATGGAAAGAGCCTTCACAAATTTAAAAAAAAAAGTAGCCAGAATGGGACACCAGCAGACAATTCACAAAGAAGAAATGCAAATAACCAACGAGCTTAAGAAATATCACAAAAATCAAATCATAGAAAAACCATAAGAAAATTAAAGCAAACATTTATCAGTGCTTTAAAAGAGGGGAGCCTCTCTAAATCTAAATGAAACCCCCCCAAAAAAAATCACAAAGGGAAATGGCTATAAAAACCAAAATCAAACCCATTGCTGTAGATCTGATTTAAAAAAAAAAAAAAATCACACTCTGCATTCCAAAGGCGCACTGTACTAACCAAGGCTACAGAGCCTTAAGGAGGATGGGCTCTGAAACATGAATCGATTCTGTTCGTGTAACTTACCAAAGTGCAGCCGGGCCCTTCTCCAGCCTGAAAGACAGAAAAAGGATGTGTTAAAGTTCTGGAGAAATGGAAAACTCCCAGAGGGTGGAAGGCAAGCAAGTGGTAAAAGGCATCTCACCTGAGTTTGCTGCAGCTCTTTTCAACTCTGTAAAAGAAGAAACAGGGGGATGAGCTATCACTGGGAATACAGAGTCAACAGGAGGTAAGCTGGTTTGCAAGTTATAAGAACACGGGAAACTTACTGAGTTCATGCCGGAGTTTCTCTAAAGAATAAAAACAGTTTAACAAATCAGAATGTGGGCTTCTACATTCCCATAAGGTCAGTCCCATCCCAACCACCCTCTCAGCACAGACCTCACTAGCAGTGCCCTACAACGTCCCCATAACAGTGTTCAGAACAGCAATGCATCTAGTAGGCTGTGGCTCCCCAGATACTGCAGAGGGTCAGCAAATTCTTCTGTGACCCAAACCTTGACTGCAGACTGAATAAATAATACAGCTCACACATATAGGTAATGACCACATGAATGTACTTGTATATAGGTGTTATGGGGACAAATATAAGTTCATTTGAAGCTGTCACTGAATTCCTATTAAATTTTTTTCTTGTGGTAAAATACATATACCAAAACCTGCCATTTAACCATTTTTAAGTGTACAATTCAGTGACATTCATTGCATTTACCGTGTTGTGCATCCATGTTGTTGTTGTTGGTTGCCGTCAAGTCGATTCGGACTCATGGCAAACTCGTGTGCAGAGTAGAACTGCTCCATAGGTTGTGACCTTTCGGAAGCAGACTGCCAGGCCTGTCTTCTGAGGCCCCTTTGGGTGGGTGGGTTAAAACTGCCGACCTTTCAGCTAGTAGTTGAATGCTTAACTATTCGTACCACCCAGGGACTCCATTACCACTATCCTATTAGATTTTGTTATGTATTTTTTTCTCAGTGTAAAATAAAATGGGCGTGTCACATGTCTGTGGACTTCTAATATTATACATGAAATGGAGAAGCACTGCCCCCAAATACTCAGTTTGATAAGGATCTATCCACCTTGGGCCCCACCTAAGGGAATATCATGACTGGGTGAGAAAAGGGACTTCCAGATGCCCTCACCTATGGGAGGTACATCTTTTTATAAAAATTTCCTGTTTAGAACTAAACAGTTGTGCAAGAAAGGTGTGCAGGGGATACTTGAGATAAGAGGCCTTTAAGAGCCAAGAAATCCCCATTCTCATGGCTTGAAGTACGCTTGCCCCCCACTTCTGCCCCAGGAATTGAAACTGAGACACTTATCCCGAGGCAAAGATGCCAGCAGAAGAAGTCTGTGCCATTGATGAGGAGCAGAACTTACTGAGGGCTTTGTAGAGTCTTCCTGAAAAAACAGAGAGAGGTGTGAGCAAGGAGATCCTGCTCTTTATCCCTGGGGCCCCGGAAGGCTCATCATTCCATCCCACCAAGATGGAAAGACATGGAAAGGATAATGACACTCCATCAGTCCTTAACCAGTTACATCTCCCAGAGGTCAGATCTTGGGCGACACTTTGCTGATGATCCTGGCTGCCCGGGACTTTGATTCCTCCTTCCTCTTCTGTTCTTTTTTTTCGGTCTGGTTTCATTTCTGGTCCTCCGTGTGGGTGTTTCTGAATGTTTCTCACTGTATGGACATGAGCCTGTGCCTTGCTGCCCTTTTATAATCGATAGTTTATGTTGTTGTGTGCCGTTGAGTTGATCCCGACTCATAGCAACCCTATATGACAGGGTAGAACTACCCCATAGGGTTTCCTGGGCTGTCGTCTTTATGGAAGTGGATTCCCAAGTCTTTTCTCCAGTGGAGAAGCTGGTGGTTTTGAACCTCAGACCTTTCAGTTAGCAGCAGAGCACTTAACCACTATGCCACAAGGGCTCCTACAGTTAGTTTATAACCTACAGTTACTCAGTCAGAATGATTATTGTTGTTAATAATAATATTTAAAACCAAACCCACTGCCTTCGAGTCAATTCCAGATCAAAATGACCCTATAGGAAAGAGTAGCACTGCCCCATAGCATTTCCAAGGCTGTAAATCTTTATGGAAGCTGACTGCCACAGCTTTCTCCCTCGGAATGGCTGGTGGGTTCGAATTGCCAACCTGTTGGTTAGCAGCCGAGCACTTTAACCACTGCGCCAACAGGGCTCCTTATAATAATGGTTACCATGTATCATGTGCCATGTGCCTACTCCTGCAGGCACTGTGCAAGGTATTTGCATATATTATTCTGAGCTTCTCAAACCTCTTCTCCCAAGAACCCCTAACAGTGAAAGAGAACATTTTTGGGGGTGGGAGGGGATGGAATCTAGAGGGTGTAGTATTGCCACCCAGAGTAAACACAGACTTCCTTTCACGTTTCTTTTATCTTAAAAGTCATGAAGATTTTGAATTCTGCTCCATAACATACTCTTGTTTGCTTTCATATAAAAACAACGTTAAATGACAACTTTTTTCCCAAAATATTTTTAAGTAAAAATCTTTGCTGTAAGAAAATGTGTCTGTTGTGTATATCCTGGTACACCGGGCAGAAGCACACATTTTAATAAAAGCTTTCAAACCTTGAGTGAGAGGGGAGGATTCATATCTGAGGTATAAAACTGGCTAAAGACCTAGCACTGACTTGTTGGCCTGGGTTTTATTATTCTCTACATGAACTCCCGTGAAGTCCTGTGGTGAGGTTCACAATTTGGAGATTCCAGAACACTTGGGGATGGATGAGTATCCTTCAGGAGAGTAGCTGTGGCTTCTCAGCCAGAGAATTGAAGTTAAACATTTGATTCCACTTCCAGGCCCTGTGCTAAGGCTTTATCATGGCTGGGCTGTGTTAGGTGTTAGGCATTGGGGCAATGGAGTTAAATATGATACAGCCCCTAATGGACTTATGGTTCTTTTTATCTGATTTTTTTAAACCTGATATTTTACCTCACTGACACGACTAATAGCCCTATTGTGTATTGGTCTTATAATGGGAGCCCTGGTGGCACAGTGGTTAAGAACTCAGCTGCTAACCAAAAGTTCAGCAGTTCGAATCCACCAGCCATTCCTTGGAAACCCTATAGGGCAGTTCTAATCTGTCCTATAGGGTCGATATGAGTTGGAATCGACTCAACAGCAACAGGTTTGGTTTGGTTTTGGATTCTTGTAATGAGCTAGGCACTGAATCCTCTCATATCTACAGAGGGAGAGTCTGAGGCTCAGAGGAGCATGGAAATTTACCCGAGATCATCCAGCTACTAAGTGGCCAAGGAGGCAGGATTCAAACTCAAGTCTGTCTGACTCCTGAGTCATAGGCCCTCGCGACTTCACCACACTACTTCCTCCCACTCTTGGACAGAACAGCCATAGTGTCCCGGGGGTGTGCACATTCACCAGCTTGGAGAAGATGTAACGGAGGAAGAGGGAAGATGCCAAAATCATGCAGAGCCATTTCTAAGCCAATGACTTGTCTTCTCAGCTAGACTTCAAAGGGCAGAGCCGCTGCCTGCTTCTTTGTACCCTTGGTGTCTAACGTACCCCCAGTGGCCCACCATAAAATTTAATTAATGATGATGAAATGCCAATAAGGGAAAGGAGCCCTCTGTGTACAAGGCACTGTGATAGGCATTCTTTAAAGGTTTTCTCTTTTAATATTCAAAAACAGTCATGAGGGGATTTATTATCCCTATTTTACAGATAAGGAAACTGAGGCTCAGTGAGACAAAGCAATTTACTTCCAGCTAGTAAGTGGCAAACCAGTGATCTGAGCCAGGTGTTGCTGAATCCAGTGCCTGTGCCCCTTCCACTGTACCACACCACTTCTCGCAATGCAAAGGTCATGTAGATCCATGAGATTCTCAGGCATCCCATACCATAATATCAATATATTTTTAAATAGTATATGGACCTTTCTTTTAGATAATTGGTGGAAAGGCTGATGAAGGAAACGTGATAATCCAGAGCTATGAATTTTGATCCTGGGCATCCCTACCCCTCTGCCACCAATCCCACAGCCCTTTGACACTGGAAACTAAATTGTGTTAATGCTTGTTGTTGTTAGTTGCTGTCGAGTCAATTCTGACTCACGGCGACCCTATGTGTGCAGAGTGGAGCTGCTCCATAGGGTTTTCAAGGCTGTGACCTTTCAGAAGCAGATCACCAGGCCTGTCTTCTGAGGCACCTTTGGGTGTGTTCGTACCTCCAACCTTTCAGCTAGTAGTCAGGTGATAACCGTTTGTGCCACCAGGAACTACCAATATTAATAAAGGATATATATATACAAACACACACACACATGCCTAATAATAGACTGTCAGCATTTATGTAGAAGGAGAATTTGTTCCCTATCTCTTACTCTGTACAGATAATTACCTTTTTCTTCCGCATGATCTGAGAGAAGATTTTCTAGAGGAAGGAAAGGAAAAGAAAATGAGATCCTGTGACAGGACCTTGAGAGTCCCTAACTCCTACTGTTTCTACCTGCTCTTGAACCTGTCCACCTCTGTTTATCTCTGCCTCCACCTCCCCGATCCAGGCTCTTGTCATCTTGCATCTGGATGACGGAAATACCATCCTGAACTGTCCCCCACATCCTCTTTCATTCCCTCTGGTCTCCCAACATTGAAGCCAGAGAGACTTTCTCAGAGCACAGCTCTGATCAGGAGATCCCTGGTCAATGCTTTACCACTGCTCTTAGGATGAAGGCTAAAATCCTTAGCAAGATTGGCAAACCCTCACGTGGTCTAAAACCAGTTGCTGTCAGATCGATCCCGACTCATGGCAATCCCACATATGTCAGAGTAGAACTGCGATCCATAGGGTTTTCAATGGCTGATTTTTTAGAAGTAAATTGCCAGGCCTTTCCTCCAAGGTACCTCTGGGTGGACTTGAACCTCCAACCTATCAGTTAGCAGCTGAGGGCATTAACCCTTTGCACTACCCAGGGACTCACATGGTCTAGCCTCTGCCTAACTCCCAGTCTTACCTTTCCCCTCGTTTCTGCCCCTTTTCAGCTTTTCAAATGAGCGCTGCTCTCTCCCAACTACATTTGTTTTACTCAAGCTTTCCTTTCTGATGTGGATGTTTTCTGTTCCCTCTTTATATCATCCATGCCTCCCCATTCTTCAGATCAAGCCCACTTCCTGTGGGGAGTCCCCTTGGCCCCTCAAACTTGGTTTGTTCTTCCTGATCATAGTCTTTATAACACTGTGGACTTTCTTTTACGGCATTTATCACAGTTACAGTTTTACATTTATTTGTGTACTTAATTTTTTTTGTACTTTAGATGAAGGTTTACAGAACAAACTAGCTTCTTATTAAGCAATTAGTACACATATTGTTTTATGACATTGGTTACCAACCCCACGACATGTCAACACTCTACGTTCTTGACCTTGGGTCCCCTATTACCAGCTTTCTTATCCTCTTCTGCCTTCTAGTCCTTGCCCCTGGACTGGTGTGCCCCTTTAGTCTTGTTTTGTTTTATGGGCCTGTCTAATCTTTGGCTGAAGGGTGAACCTCAGGAGTGACTTGATTACTGAGCTAAAAGGGTGTCCAGGGGCCATACTCTCAGGGTTTCTCCAGTCTCTGTCAGGCCAGTAAGTCTGATCTCTTTTTGTGAGTTAGAATTTTGTTCTACATTTTTCTCGCGCTCTGTCCGGGACCCTCTGTTGTGATCCCTGTCAGAGAAGTCGGCAGTGGTAGCCAGCCACCATCTAGTTGTACTGGACTTAGTCTGATGGAGGCCATGGTAGTTGTGGTCCATTAGTCCTTTGGACTGACTAATCTTTCCCTTGTGTCTTTAGTTTCCTTCATTCTCCCTTGCTCCCGAAGGGGTGAGACCAGCAGAGTATCTTAGATGGCTGCTCACAGGCTTTTAAAATCCCAGATGCTACTCACCAAAGTAGAATTTGGAACATTTTCTTTATAAACTATGTTATGCCAATTGAGCTAGATGTTCCCTGAGACCATGATCCCCACAGCCCTCAGCCCAGTAATTTGGTCCCTCAGGGAGTATGGATGTGTCTATGGAGCTTCCATGACATTTCCTTGTACAAGTTGTGCTGACTTCCTCAGTATTGTGTACTGTCTTACCCTTCACCAAAGTTACCACTTATCTATTGTCTATTTAGTGTTTTTCCTTCCCCATCCGCCCCTCCTTCATAGCCATCAAAGATTGTTTCTTTTTGTGTGTAAATCTTTTCATGAGTTTTTATAGTAGTGGTCTTATACAATGTTTGTCCTTTTGTAATTGACTTCACTCAGCATAATGCCCTCCAGATTCATCCATGTTGTGAGATGCTTCACAGATTCATCACTGTTCTTTATTGTTGCGTAGTACTCCATTGTGTGTGTAGTTATTTAGTTTTTGAATACCTTCCCTGACTAGACTGAAAGCTCCGGGTGGGCAAAGATTATCCATTCTGACTCACCATTGTCTCCTCAGCACCTCATGTGATCCCAGGCAATCAGTAGACAATTTTCAATTATTTGTTGAATGAATAAAAGCTTCCCTCACATTAGACCTACACAACTCCCACAGAATAAGGCCAAGCAATGAGCTCACAGACAAAAAAATCACTAAGCATACTGGAAGGCAAGCTATTACAAGTGAGAGTCAGTGAAACTGAAAACAACAGATTTAAACCCCCATCTCCACCGTCAAAGACAACAGAGGTTAGAATTTTCAGGTTCAGAATTTAAATTAGTGGGTGCTGGCGGTACAGAAATGAACAAAACAGAGAAACATTCCCACCCAGCTGAGGACACTTACCTACCTCCATCACCTGTTCATAAAGAAGCTTCTCTAGAAGGGAGAGAGAGCGATAGATGTCAGCTCAGCTTAAGAAAGGATTTTTTTCTAATAGACAAAGTTGTCCAGAGATGCCTCAAGTTTCATGAGTAGGACTTTGCTCCTTGTCACTGTGGGTATGTGACCATTTGGAAGGATTACCAGTTACCAGTTGCTATAGAGTCGATTCTGATTCATGGCAACCCCATGGGTTTCAGTGTAGAACTGTGCTCCATAGGGTTTTCATGGTTGTGGCCTTTTGGGAGCAGATTGCCAGGCCTTTCTTCCAAGGTGCCTCTGGGTGGATTCAGACCACCTATCTTTCAGTAAATAGTCAAGTGCTTAACCATTTGTGCCACCCAGGGACACCTTTGAAAGGATTAGAGGGTCTTCAAACTGTCAGATGGGGGGAGGAATGTTGGACTATGTGACTTTCAAGGTCCTTTTCAATCCTGAGATCCTGTGAAATTCAAATACCTTTATGAGAGTTTTATCCAATTGATGTAATTGGATTTCTTAATCAGTTAGATGGCGGGCATGATAGGAAGTATTATTTTCTCATTTCTCAAAGGATGAGGATTCAGTGCTCTGCTCAGTTTCTTTAATTCCCTCTTCAATGTGAGTGACCCGTACATGGCTCTGCCAGTTTTCTCCCAGCCAACTTATAGAGTCCCCGTCCTATGGATAAGTATCATGTCCACCCCTACTTCCTTCTTGGCTTTTCCCAGAGAAGCCACAGTCTGACCATCAGCCAGCCTGGGCTCCCTCACCACTTTGTTACCTTTTGATCTTCTTTGCTTCCAGATTAGGTAAATGCCTCCTATGATGAGAAGCCCCAGGACAGGCAGGATCACAGCAAGAGCCACTGTGGAGAAGGACACGCTCGCTGGAGATGGGGCTGAAACAGAAACCATCAATGACCACCCATAGGGAGATGTCTGAGAGTTTTCTCTCATATCCAGGGCCCCACCTCAAATGGCAGATGGCTCAGGCATGTCCCAACTATCTTCATCGCCTCTAGGGAGAGACCTCCGGCCAAGATTGGTGACAGCCTTCCCTTCTCTCAGTAACTCAAACCCTGGATGACCAGGGATGACTAAAAATAAGTGAGATGGTCATCTCTCAGGAATGGTTTAGATAGTCTTGCCTGAAGACATTGAGTTAAACTCAGCTTCTCAACCACAACCTTGTCCTGCCCTATAATTCAGTGGAAAAATAATCCAGAGACTTCCAAGAACTGAAAGTGCTCTCCTTAGAAATCACCTAGCGCCCTCTCATGAGACCCCTGCCTTCGTCTTTGCCCTAGAGTAGCAGTCAGCAACCTCTTTGCCTTCAGCACTATCAACATGGGCAAAATAATTTCTATGGTGTTACAGCAGCAGGGCTAAGGCCTAGGCAGGAGGGAAAAGAGAAAGGAAGGAAGCAATAGATGGGGGACGGGGGGAGAACAGAAGATGGACTGTAACAAGTGGTTAAGAGCATAAGCTAGGTGTTAGTCCCAGCTAAAACACTGTGTGACCCTGGGCGAGAGACCAAGCCTCTGTGAGCCTGGTTTGCCTCATCTGAAAACCCAGGATGATGATCGTACCTCTCCCATTGGGTTGTTGGGAGATTTAAAGAAATCAGGCATGTAAAGCACTTAGTACTTAGTGAAAGGCAGTGGTACTTTAAGAGAAGAGGGAAAGAGGCAGAGAGATAGAAAGACAGGATTAGTAGAGGCCCATGACCCCTTCCCTCTGGCCCCTGGGCCAGTCTATCTTTCTTGGCTCTAAAACCACCCTTCTCTGACATATGACTCCATATTTCAAGGGGCTCTAAAAATTCATACTATTTGCCCATTCATTCCAAGAAATTCTAAGAAAATAATCAGAATCATTTCCCAGAATACGTGCAAAGATGTTCATTGCACCATTAGTTATAATGTGAAGAAAAACTGGAAACTATCCAGATGTCCAGAAATAATTTTTTATGCTATAGCCACACAGTGAAATACTATGCAGCTCTTAAAAATCATGTTGCAGAGAATGACTTAAGGACAATGGCAAAAAATGTTCATGACATCGTTAGTGGAGAAAAAAACAGAAGAATACATATGTGTAAACATATACACATTCAGAAATGCATAGAAGAAGGTCTTGAAGGGAATGCACCAAAATGTGAATAGTAGTTCTCTCGCATTTATGAGATTATAGGCCATTTTTTGTTTTCTTTAAAATTTTCTGTATTTTTTCAGGTTTTCTACAATAAACCGGTTAGTTTTAGAATTTAAAAAATCCTAAAAGTTATTTATTTTATAAAGTTTCTACTAGGGTAGGAGTTTTCTCTGTAACTACCAGCTGCTTCAGACCTGATTTCTGTCCTAGCTTTTACCTGCAATGACCATGGCTGCAGTCTTCTCTTGACCAAGGATCGAGTTGTGGATGATGCAGGTCACATTCCCCAGAGTGCTGTCCCTCACTCTGGTAAACACCGTTATTCGGAAGAGTTTAGCTTCTTCCAGGACGTGGGCCTGCGATAGGGGTGGAAGCTCTGTGCCTTGAGGGTCTCTCCACTCAGCTGAGGGCTTTGGGAACCATCCCACAGACCTGCACACCAGGTGGATCCATCCAGCGTTATAGCTCTCCACGTGGATGTAAGGATCGGAACCTAGAACTGAAGAGGAGAGACTGCCTGAGTGAACCAGCCCAGAAATGGACTGACAGGGCCTTGTCAAGGGGCATAGTCCCAGCCAGAGCCCTCTTCTTCCTCCTACAGCTTCCTCTGGTGAACAGGAAAAACTGTTAATGTAACTTTAACATGTCCCGCCATTAGGATAAGACAGTCTCTAACTTCATCTTAATACCTTTCAAAATCCACCCATAATAGTTACTGCATCACATGATTCAGATTCCTTTGGGCACCTCGGTCCCCTTTTAAAAATTCTTCCCCCCCCCCCACAAAGGACTCCACATTTGGAAAGAGTTGTTTACCAACCAGTGTGTATTTTAAAGTAATTGATTCACCCACTCTTTTTGGGGTGTGATTATAAATTATGACCAAAAAGAGTCAGCACGTGTCCATGTGGAGTTGGTAGCATTCTGGGAAAATACAAAGGCATGGGTATTTTGGGGTGCCTGAAGCTTAAAAAAAATATTGAAGGTAGTTTGAGAAACTCTATCTCTAACTTCTTGTACGTTTAAGTGCTCAGGAACCCCAGCACAGGACCCATTATAAGTAAATCTTTGTTACAGCTCGGGATTCTGGCCCTTGAGGTCATTTCCTTACAGCCATGGTTATGAATTTCCAGATAATGGAGCAAAGAAAGATGAACCAGAGATGGAAGAGCTATTGGTTGGGCCACCAAGCTGGAAAGGCCACTAATTGTATTTAACCAGCAGTGTGTTCCATAGTCCAGGTTCATTTCTTATCAGAAACACCTGGACAAGGGTCACAGCTGAGCCAACAGGGCAAGTTGAAAACTGTGCATTGCAGATGAAAGAAAATTCTAGATATGGAAGGACAAAGTACGTTCTAACTTCATCCAATTGCCACAAAAGACCTCAGGCACCTCAAACCCATCCTAACCTGCAACTTGCAGAGTCACGCTGCCCTCTTTAGTCAGGTTGCCGATCTGGATCTGACAGCGGTACTGCCCTTGGTCATCAGGCTGGACATCCCGGATCTTCAGAGTGACATTTCCCTGTTGGGTGTCTCTCACCAGCTCTGTCCTCCCCTTATATTCCGGCATCTGATCTTCATCCCAGTCTTTCCCATTCCGGAACACGTGAATAGCCTGGGAGAGCTGGGAGTGTGGGGACCGCAGCCACCTCACCTCAGTGAGCTCCAAGCTTGGCCAGAGGTCGAGAGGGCAGAGCAGCTCAGCTGTGCCCCCTAGCCAGACCAGTTGGAACTTGCTGGCGTCCCCTGTGCAGAGTGGACAAAAAAGAAATAAGACCATTTGGGAGGGATGAGAAAAACCCAGCTTGGGAAGGGGTGAGGAAGGGGATGAGGAAGGGGATGGCTTGTGTCATGGATTGAATTGTGTCCCCCAAAAAATGTGGGTAGCAACTTGGCTAGGTCATGATTCCCAGTATTGTATGATTGTGTTATCTGATGTGATTTCCTTATGTGTTGCAAACTCTACCACTATGATGAGATTATATGTGATCTCATGTGTTGTAAATTCTATCACTGTGATGAGTTTATACTGATGAGGTTGACAAGATTAGTGTCTTAATGCAATCTCTTTTGAGATATAAAAGAGAGAAGCGAACAGAGATACATGGGAACCTCATACCATCAAGAAAGCAGTGCTGGGAGCAGAGCGCATCCTTTGGACCTGAGGTTCCTGCGCAGAGAAGCTCCCAGACCAAAGGAAGACTGATGACATGGACTTTCCTCCAGAGCCGATAGAGAAAGTGTTCCCCTGGAGCTGATGCCCTGAATTTGGACTTGTAGCCTACTGGACTGTGGAGAATAAATTTCTCTTTGTAAAGCCATCCACTTGGGGTACTTCTGTTAGAGCAGCACTAGATGACTAAGACACCTTGGGAGAAGGACAGAGTTCAGGAACGGCATTGGAAAGGACTGGAGAAAGAACAGAACCCAAGAAGAAATAAGGCCTCAGGCCAGATCTCCTAAATTCTTGTGATCCCATCATCAGGTGTCTCAGACAGGGAAAGAGTTTCAGAAACTCCTACCTGACCCTTGAGCCGGCAGCTGAAGGAAGATGAGTGTGATGAGGCAGCTAGAGAGCCAGGAGCCAGAGGAACTTGCCATCTCCATTCGAACTAGGAGGACAGACACAGGGAGACACCAGAAGAGGGTTGGTGAGCTTGATATGTGAGGGGTATACCATGCACTCTAGAATCAGACAAACATGGGTTTGAATCCCAGCTCTGTTACTTACCTCCCTGTGACTCTGTGACTTCTCTGAGACTCTGTTTCTTCATCTTTAAAATGGTTGTAATAAGGGAATGATGATGACAGTGGTTGTGATATGAGGATCCGAGGATGAGACACTGAGTCACTGAGTACAATTTAGAAGGCACAAGAAAGTGTCTGGAAGAATGAGAACTTATATCCAGAACTAACCAAGTACTGGCCTCTTTTTGCATTTACAATGTCCAGTGTCACAACTTCAGAAGTGCCTGTTTCAAGCCAATCCTGGACCCACGATACGGTCTGGAGCTCTTCGTCCACTTTGACTTTTGAGAAATAACAAACTAGGCAATGATGTCCTGCCATTTCATCATTTTTCCCCTCCCTTCCCCCACCTCCAAAGCCCCTAGTCCCTGGAAACCTGAATCTACTTTCTGTCTCTGCATATTTGCCTATGTGGTCATTTCCTATAAATATGTGGCCTTCTGTGTCTGGCTTTTTTCACATTTCATAACGTTTTGATATACCACATTTTATTTAAGCACTAATCAGTTGATGAATATTTTGTTTTATTTTTTTATTGTACTTTAGATGAAGGTTTACAAAACAAATTGTTTCTCTTTAAACAGTACACATATTGTTTTATGACATTGGTTACCAACTCCACGACATGTCAGCACTCTCCCTTTTCGACTTTGGGTTCCCTATTACCAGCTTTCCTGTCCCCTCCTGCCTTCTAGTCCTTGTCATTGGGCTGTTGTGCCCCATTATCCTCGTTTTGTTTTATGGACCTGTCTAATCTTTGGCTGAAGGGTGAACCTCAGGAGTGACTTCATTACTGAGCTAAAAGGGTGTCCAGGGGCCATACTCTCAGGGTTTCTCCAGTCTCCGTCAGACCAGTAAGTCTGGTCTTTTTTTTTTTTTATTGTACTTCAGGTGAAGGCTTACAGAACAAATAGTTTCGCGTGAAACAGTAGTACACATATTGTTT